CTTTTCATCTCAGTAATGACCCAGGTGTCGTTCTCAATGGCCTTTCATTCTCAAGCACCGGATCTCTAAAGTACGCCAGAAAGTAGATTATATGATAAAGAATGATTGAAATGACATAGATTATTTGATATAAAGCCGATGAAGGCACGAGTAATTCTATTATTTTCAACAAAATACGAGTAACGAGCATATCTCTCAATGTTTTTAAATGTCATATCCACCTTACAGTAAAAAATTATATTTCAATAACGTCACTTATGCCATTCTCTTAGAACTTTCATCTCAGTAACGGCATAAGTGTCATTCTCAGGGAACATGCTAGTGGAAACAAGGGGAACATGCTGGTGCTAAAATATGGAATATTGAACTAAGTTAACCCATTTGCTTGTAATGACATTTGTTCCATTCTCATAGATACTTATATAAGTCCAACAACGACGCTTGTATTGTTTTAATGAAAGTTTATAATTCATGCAATGTCACTTGTGTTGTTCCCATGTACGCTTATAAGTCTAGAAAAAACACTTATGTCTTTTTTTCTTATGACATAACACAATAAAGATATACACCAATATTTAACAAAAGACAAACATATCCTACAGAAAAAATCCATCTCACGAAATAAAGTCATCCAATTGATATGCGCATTTTGAAATGTAGTCTACAACTTTTTTACATTCTCCAAAACATCAAAATCGTCAAATTCGAGTGAAAAATATATATACCTTGAAACAAAATAATTTTGAGGTGTACTGTAAAACGCTAACCATAAGCTCTAGTTACACTAGAATCATACCCCCCACCCCCACCCCCACCCCCACTATAATTGCCATTATTTCAACCACTACCATTGTACTAATATGCGCTTCCCCTATTTCAAGTATAAAAGTTATCACTTCTAAAATCACGACTACCAAAATGCCCACACCACATCTACTTTTACCTCTATATGGAGCTCGACTTGTAAACCAAATCAGCCAATGGTTACCTCCTAATTGGCTTGTCAAATCAGCTAGTGACTTTGTTGATAAACGTAGGGAATGTCAAGGCCATGAGCTGCCAAATCTGTCGCAACCAAAATTAGTGTGTTCCACTTTTAAAGGATTTCAATGCTAGTTCTCTTTCCTGGAACAATAGGTAAATCAAAGTCAAATCAAGTAATAATCGATGTAGGCATAATGATACAATATTTAGGCAACTAAAGAATAAAATGATACAATAAAGTCAAGGAGATACACAACCTTTTAAATTGCCAACTTATATACATTATAGTTCAAGTCCCAATCTACAAATAAGGGTACTGTAATAAAAATAGGCAAAATATAATATGAAAAAATTCTAAAATCAACAAGTGTAAAGTTTAATAATGGGAGTCACATAAAATATGAATTACAGTAAAGCATAATATGAAGAATTTTACTAAAAATGCCGAATTACTTAAATCAAATTACTCATAATGCAACTCTCTAATTTTCAAGGCATATCAAAGAACAAGCACATTTACGCATCACAATTTCGGTTTATAGCAATGCTAATAAATGAATTTTTTTTAACCCATCATCTTCAAAACCCCAAATTTATCAAAAATCCATCCACATTAAAAAAACCAACTCAACTAAAACTAAACTAACTATACAAATAAATCATGAAATCATAAAATATATATATTTTCAAAATAACAAAAAAGAAAAAAAAATCGAAGAAAAATTTACCTTTTTGGTTGTACTAGCTTGTACCAAAAAGATGATAAAGCAATGTGAAATAAACTTGAATCAAAAAAATAAGTTTTTCGTAATATTGAAATAGAGTGAAAATTAAGGTGAAGAAGACGGGTTTGAAATTCAAATTTGGGGAATAGGGTTTCACAATGAAAGTGAAGAAGAAAGAAGAAGGTGAAATGAAAGAAGTTGGGTGAATAATTTGATATAAATTAAGGACAACCTTGTCATTTTACCAATTAAAACATTTTAAATTTTTTATTCTATTTCAATGTTGGTTAGAGGCTATTTGTCCAAACTCATTCTCCAACTAGGTCATTTGGCCAAATTCCCCAATTATCTTCCTACAGCTTAGATATTATTTGATTGGTCAAATAATTAAAGTTAAGCAAAAATTAATTTAACATATTAAAACCTTCCTTAAATTTATTTATTAACATATCAAATAAATATTTTATGATATGTTTTCATACTTATCGATTTTATTGTGTATAATTTTAGGTAAGATTTAATTTCGATTTTGACCATCGCTTTACGTAAGTAAAGAAATAAACAAGATCAACCCGAGGGTTTCCCCAATGCGCACCCGAAGGGTACCGGCTGCGGGTTCCCAAAAAAAATAAATAAATAAATAATTAACTGCTTTGAATAATTTTTCTATCCTTGCTCCTACAAGCTACGCTTTGCTGAATTCAAGAAACTACACAGGACATGATGCTTCATTGATTAATTCAAAATAAAACTTTAAACCCTAATTCCGTCTGCTGAACATGTGGCTAGCAGTTCTGGCGTTATCCCGTAGCAAGCAGCTCCACCATTAATCAGCAGATTCAGGCGATGCGATGATTAATTGATTATTTTCAAAGCTCAACATCTTCTTCAAGTATTTGGAGAATACAAAACAACGTCTGTTGAATGTTCAATCCCTTCAATTGATAAAGCTACTTGGCATTAAGTTAAGAACGATGTTTTTTAATCCAAGTGGTGATTGCGATCGAGTACAATAATGAAGTGGTGATAAAGTCAAGGTTGGAGAGTTTGATTCCACTTTTACAACAAGTCAAAAGACGAAAAAAATTATAGAGTTGTTCTGAGATTTCTTTTGATAATTTTTTTTAATTTTGCAAAATTACTAAATTGAGACTATTATATTTTTTATCAATTAATTAGTGGATTGATTTACCGTTACATGGGAGCCCGTGAATGTTTTTATTCGAGGTTTACCACGTTACATATGATACTCATGTTTTAGTATGTTTGTTAATTTTTGTAATTGATTAAAACCACTTAAAACACTAAATTATGTTTACATGCTGCATTGAGAACTGCTAAAAAACAGGTTATAGGATATTGTGATTGTCTGACGTGTACTGTTTGTACTGGATAATTAAAAACGGATTTTTTACTTTTACTAGGTTTTAAAATTTACAAGTAACTTCACTTGGAAATAAACTTTCTAAAGTTAGCCAAACATTTGTGAAAAGTTGTCCAAGAATATAGATTATTGAGCCCTGTTTGAAACTGATTTTTCAAAATCATTTTCGCCCAGGCCCATGGGGATGGAAATGATTTTATTTGGTTTATTTTGTTTTTGTTTCAAGAGAATCAAATCGAACCATGAACCAATGATTCTTTTGATAATGGAACCAAATAAAAATGATGAATCTTATTGGGGTTGTTTGGTACGGATTAACATTTGATTTTAATCTAAGTCAAAGTCAAACAATCAATATTAACCACATTTTTCATAGTCCCACACATTTTAAAAACTTTTATCACAATCTACTAAAAAATATAATTTTAATCTCTACTAAACACCCATAATAAGCAGAATTAGTGAATATTGACTTGATTGTCTGAAGTAATCTTATTTTTTCCCTCTTTCCCGAGTTTAAGCAATCATGGAGAAAAAAGGAAAGAGTAAACTATATGTTGGTTGTTCTTAGAGTAAACTATTATGTTGGTTGTTCTTATTTACTTTTATCCCAAATCAACAACTTTTTGCTTATAAAATTGTGCAATTAGTTAATCTCGATTTACTTTTGATCAGGTCTTTGTTTTATTTTCTTTCGATTTTCTTGGTTGTGAAAGAGCTTGCTATCATATGTTGGTCTCTTTCTGCTTGCCTGTGGATTTTGTTTATGTATATTATAACATTATGGCAAGGAACGTGCTTTTTGATGGGAAGCTAGGCATTCCTGATGGGCTGGAGACTTACAAGGACTTATCATATTTATTAATTGGAAAATTATTAAATGGTTATGACAGCCAAATATTGGTTGCTGATGGTGCATCTTTTTTTTTTTTTTTTTTTTTTTTTTAATTTTTTTTTTTAAAAAAAAAAAAAAAAAAAAAAAAAAATTTTTTTTGTTCAAAAATTTTTTTTTTTTCCCTTTCCCCCAAAAAAAAAAACCCCCCCCCCCCCCCCCCCCCCCCGCTTTTTTTTTTTTTTTTACTGTGGAATCAAACAGAAACCGAACCATTTGGTTCTGGTTTGGTTTTGTTTGGCTTGATTTGCTTCTAGTTACATTCTCGATTTATAAAAAAATAAATAAATAAATAAAGAGAAAGAACATTTGAAGAAGAAGAATCAAAGGTTGATGATTCAATTTTAGAAATCCATGGGTGGTGGTGGCTAAGTGAGAGGATAGACGAGAGTCGATTTCCATATGAGAGTCGGTGTATAAGTTGAAAAGGAGATAACATGATAAATGAATTAGGATTTGAGTCTCCAAAATAAATTATGATCTCTAGTCTCCACAATGAGAAACAAGAAACCGAAGTAAACATGACCTTTTTGTCCTAATTTTCAATTGAATTTTGAAATTTTTTTTTTATGTGAATTGTAATTCACTAATTTGTGTGTGTATTAAAAATATATAAAAATTGAATTTGGTTCTTGGTTCTAGAATTAAAACCGAACCAAAATCAGAACCAAAATCAAATAGTTCTCAATTCTAAGAACCATAACAATTATTTTTTAGTTTTTGTAGAACGAATGAACCGCTTGCTTTGATTTGATTCTAATTTGATTTGATCATTTTGTCCACCCCTACACGCCCATTTTGAACCCTTACATGCTAAAAAAATAAATAAATGATCATTTTCCACAATTTTTCCGTATTTTTAGCTCACATATTTTCCTTTAATAAAAAAAAAGAAAAGAAAAATTGTCATTTTTAACAAAATCACTTCTTAAAAATCAACTTCTCAGGAGGCTTAAACAAACACAACTAAAAAGAATCAATACCGTAAAAGAAAGATAACAAAAGTAAGAAGCAATATCCAAATCCATGTATGCTTGACATACAACAAATTCAAACAAAAAAATGACAATTAGATGGTATTTTTCTTCCATAGAAAGAGGAATTGGGTCCCAGGAAAGGGGGGTGGGGGTGGGGGTGGGGTGAGTAAAATTAAAACCCCGAAAAATAAAATTTAAGGTTAGGCAATTCTTGCTTATGCATAGCACATTGCACACTCGATTAAAGATCCACAAATGTATTGAAAGTCAAGATTGAAATTCCCAGAAATTTTTCCTCGTATTTCTAAGCTAAACAATATCAGTTGTCATTCTGCTGAAGAGAGAAAAAAGAGGCTCCGAGTTGACATAGTGAATCAAAAGTGTCCCAAACTATATGCTAGAATCCATGCAAGCTGAAAATAGAATAGGTTAGTGATTAAGTTTGTAAAGACATTTGTTATTTATCTACCGTAAACATTAGGGAACGAGTACTTGGAAAATGCGTACATACCAGAAAGAGTGATGTCGAAGCAAAGAGGCCCTCTTGGAGCAACGCTCCATGACCACCAAAATCTTCTTCTTCGATTTTCAGTACAAGTGCATAATAAGCATAGATAATCCCAGAGGAGAACAATAAAAATCTGAAAATCGATATCAGCAGCTGGCATTAATTATATGGGATCTTTCTCGCCAATCAAAGAAGTAAAATAGTATGTTTCCCTCAACATTTTATTAAATCACACATAGGACACCATGTACTTATGATGATGAAGAGAAGCATTACTTCCCAAAGAACTGCATTAGTATAACATTAAAAGGGAAGAGATAACTTCTTATTTCGAATGGAGATGAGACATCAGATGTTTATTTTTTATAACAAGTATATTCGGTTGTATAGAATGTATTTGCAATGTTTGAAGAGTCATCACTTTTAACCAAAAAGTTAGAACATAGCAACTTGATATAGCATTAGCAAAATGTTTCCATGTATTGCTTTTCAGATGTTGACTATATATACTTTCACCAACTCCAAAGAACCAAATACATGATTCTAGTATGAATAATAATCAACTTGCGAAAACAAAACAACAGTCAAGGTAACAAACAAGGTCTTGGTTTGCTTTTAGGTAATTTACTTATCAACTATGCTCACGTCACAAAGGTACTTGGCCTCAGTTTCCAACTAACTCCTCTTGTGTATGTGATGTTAGTGGCCCACTGAGTTGAAACTGAGCCGGATTTTCCTGTTTCAACAGGATCACTAGCATAAACAACAATTTAATTACAGGACTGGCCCAGCTAGGCATCCAGTCACCAGTTGAACCTATGGGCACTGTCCGGGATTACTATATCTCAGAAGCCTATGGTAAATAAAAATATCGTCTCTACTCTTCCACACCAGTCCCCTTATGTCATGCAGACTCGGATAAGAGAACCCACCCATAGCTTACCAACTTCAGCCTACCATCCAGTACTTGATATTATGCCATTCCACATCACCAAGCAACAATCTAAGGAGAATTCTGCGCGATGCAATGAACATAGATTCTCCTTTTTCGGGGAATACAGCATCACTTCAGACCAAGTGTGAAAGATCATACCACGAATACCAGCAATAGACTACAATATTTCCTCCTACATCGTGAATTGCATCTGGGTTTCAGCTATCAGATACTAGCCTGTCTTTCACACCCAAAAGTAAAAGATGCAGTAACTGATATCTCTAAACTGAGACCATGCTAAAGTTTGTCATAAATAGCCTCCAGGAAAAGATAAAGCTCCAGAAACAATGATTGTTCTAGAAAAATAATGTTACCTGGACATATCTACGTCTATATCCACATACACACAAATGTTCATGTTGCACAGACATATGGGTTTCCCTAGTTACTCAAACCTTGAAAACTGAAAAGGATTTTCCTCCAATTAAGTAACATCTGAAGGTCACGTGATCACTGGCCACAGAAAACAATATTTCACATATGTGTGTGTGTTTTAAACAAGTTCCTCGATAAGCTTTGGAATCTGAAGTTCGAAGTACTTAATTGATCCTTATTGTTCAGGCTAACACAATAATGAACTAAAGAAACTTGCCCAACTATCTGTTTACAATAACTGGGATAACAAATCATTTGTATGATGCTCTCAAACTGCAGACTGAACTCAACTCACAATGCAGATCATCTTTTATCAGAAGTGCAGCAACCTTTGATGCAAACTATTAATTTATAATGAACCAACCAAATGTGCAAACTTACAGGAGAAACCAGATACCCCCAACTAAAGGAATGGTACCCCATAGTAATCCACATACAAGGGCTAATGCTTGCCTAATCCAATGTAGTATATCGCCTAATTGATCCTGCGTGAAAAAAACAGAGCCATTACACGTGAAGAATATGCCTATTAAGTGCATAAGCATCTAGCACAGTTTCAGAGTAGAAACTTATCCCCTAATACTAATGAAATGAAGCAATCTCAAACTTTAAAGTTTTCTCATAAACGATGTAAATGTGTCGATACAGCAAGCAATACACCTAAATCAATCATAAAAGATGACTGAACTTTAAAAAATTGCTCAAACAAAATTAAAGATGAAAAACATAGACACAGAACTCCTATCATTTATTATCTTGTAAGCACTGTGAACTGATATGTAAAGATGAAACATTTCATAGTAACAGGGAATCCTCTCAATAAAACCTCTACATGGTGATTATAGCACCCATCTCCTCTCCCACCTATAACCTTTACGTATCCAATGAAGTCATAAAATTAGGCTTAAATATTATGGGCCTCAAGCATGGTTCAGAGCTGCAGCAGATAACTCCAAGCCACATTTCACTAATCAAGTTTAGAATAGCAAACCCAATAATTAATTGAATCACTGCTACCTTACCCAAAAAAAAAAAAGGCACTTCGACAGCCACAACACTGTTCTCTTAATGTTTAAGATCTTATAGTTGGTTGTCCCACTCCCAGATCCATGCAAGATAGATGATCAGACAATGAGTATACTTATAACTGTATCTGGCTAGGGTAATACTGTTTTTGCTGACACGATTTTTTATTTATCAAAGTATCTTCAAAACCCACCTCAAACTAATTGGAAGAATTGAAGTAAATCCTAGAGTGCGGTTTTCTTTTCTCTGCCTAGCACTAAGAAATTCATCAATCTAATCCAAGTTATATAAGAAATTGCATACTTTCACACTATATTCTGATCCAAAAAAGAGCCTGGATATTTTATTTTTTCCTTCTTCTTTTTTTTTTCCTTCAGAATATAACGATTGAATCTTAGTAAATCGTACTCGAATTAAGTAAATTCAAAGATCAATGAATAAATCGCGAGAAGGGAAAAAAAA